TCAAAGCTGCAAATGTGGAGGGACGAGTGTACTGTAAAAATAAAGGGAGAAGAGTTTGCAGAGAGGACCTCTATTGTGGAAGTTCACTCAATGACATAAATCCAATTGGTACTCCCAATCTGAGTAGATCAATTGAACCAATTGATCCTATGTAAACAGTGTGGTGCAGTGGTTTGACTATGACTCTAGAGATCAGGGAGTGAATCCACAAAAGTCAAAGCCGCAAATGTGTATTTCTGCAGTGTGTTTTGGACCACAGAGCCACGGCAGATTAAAGTGGTGTTAGAGAACTCTGGTGCCACAACCAACTACCATTCCCAGCATGACTACAAAGCATGAATTTACATTTATATTAGTGTTTCTAGCTTTTATTTTGTAATGCTCTCCATTTTTCTTGAATGTTCAACATTTCATGGTGCCTTGTCCTGTTTTGTGATTATGACATCTGGTCACCCTATACAACAAGATCCCGCTTCAGTTTTTCACTCTTGCAACCCTGGTTCCCCATTAAACCTCTCTCATCCTACTTTTTCAGATGTCTCAGTGTTTTTTTCTCACTACCCTCTTTGTGAGCCAGTATGGTGTAGTGGTTTGACTGTTGCACTGTGACTCCAGAGGCCAGGGTTCAAATCCCCGCTTGGTCATGGAAACCTATTGGGTGACCCTGGGCAAGTCACACTCTCTCAGCCTCAGAGAATAGCAATGGCAAAACCCCTCCAAAGAAACTTGCCCATGATATGGTCTCCAAATGTCACCATAAGTCAGAAGGCACACAACAACAAACTTCTTTGTCCTCAGCTAACCTCAATTGCTGCAAATTGACTTTGGGTTGCAAATGTCATTCACACTCAGTTACAAGGGAGAGAGGAAAGGGTGGAATCCTGGCTTTCCCAGTGAGCTCAGGCAAAAACAAAATGCTGTAGCCACTGCTAGTTGGCTCTTCCTCACTAATAAACTTTGCACTCTTGACCATGCTTTGGTGTTGCTTGGCTACTGTGTCCCAATTTCCTTCGGTGGAATGTTTGAGAACATGCTATCTACCTCATTAAATTGCTTATGAACAAGGGTAGACATGTATAGATAGAAATTATATAGAAACAGAAGCATATAAAATAATGATAGATAAGAAAACAGGAGGGAAGGAATTTATAAAGATTTACTATATCGATGCTTAAAGGTAAAATAGGACTACAGTCACCCCTCCGTTTTCGCGGGGGATCCGTTCTGGACCCCCAGCGTGCGAAAATGGAAACCTGCAAATATGCAATCCCCATAGGCTTGAATGGGGGTGTGCACCCATGGGTGCCTACCCCATTTTATCCCCCTCTGTTTGCTGCCCATAAATGGGCGAGGGAAGCAAACTTCAAGTCTGCAAAAATGGTGGGGCAACTGTATTAACTTAATGTTGGAATTGAACAACTAATATTGGAAATGAGATTAGACAATGATAATAGATCTATGTGGTATGATGGGCTAGGAAGGAGGTCAATTTTTGCGTTGTCTTTTTTAAAACAAGAAATATAGTTTGATGTAATTTTGTTATATATATTAGGTATGGATGCTATGTTAAGAGTCAGATATAAGTTGTCTATAGCATCAATGTAATTATAAGGATTTATGTTTATGTTAATAAAAATATTAATAAAAATAAATTGCTTATGAAGGAGTGCTTTAATTCATACATTTATTCTCTTAAGAACTGAGTCTGTTAAAAAAAATCTGCCACTCTTTAATGCATGCTCTGGAAGAAGATGTTATGAGGTTTGCTACACCCATACAGAGAAATCATATATATGGGATGGTTCACTGTTTCAGAAGATGTCTGAAATCAAAATGTTAGCACTAACTTAATTCCAGAATCAAGTTATTAATTAGTTAAATGAAAATGTACTGAAGAGGGAACATGTTTTACACTTCTTTAAGAATTGTTGCTGTATGCCTTCAAGTCCTTTCCAACTTACAGCAACCTTAAGATGAACCTATCACAGGGTTTTCGTGGCAAGAAAACCATGGTCAGTGGTCAACTCTTTTCCTTTCCACATTAGATAACATTGAAAACTTATGTTCCAACAAGGAAAAGATTTGATCACTTACCATGGTAGGATCAGTGGCCTGAGGATGCGAGAATGTCCCAGGGTATGAATAAAAAACAAAAGGACTACAGCTTTCATAGAATCATAGAGTTGGAAGAGACCACAAGGGCCATCCAGTCCAACGCCCTGCCATGCAGGAACTCCCAATCAAAGCATCCCTGACAGATGGCCATCCAGCTTTCTTTCAGAAACAGCTATTTTGAAGCAAAGATAGAAGAGTATATAATATAGCATGCGACAAAGAGCTATCAGAATGACATACACAAAGAATACTAGAAGTGTTTTGGATTTTGGATTTTTCCGGATTTTGGGATATTTGTATATGCATAATGAGAAATCTTGGAGGTGGGACCCAAATCTAAACATGTAATTTATGTTTTGTATACATCTTATACACAGGGTCACCGTGAGTTGAGGATCTACAAACATACAACCTAGATAATGAAGAAATCGAAATAAAGATTTCCTGTATCTTGGATCAAACATTGATCAGAATGGAAACTACAGTCAAGAAATCAGAAGAAGAGTAGGAATGGGAAGGGCAGCCATGAAAGAACTAGACAAGATCCTAAAGTTCAAAGATAATAAAACAGCAATAAAGTTAGAATCATCCAAGCCATTGTATTCCCCATCACTATGTATAGATGTAAGAGCTGGACAGTGAAGAAAGCGGATAGGAAGAAAATAAACTCATTTGAGATGTGGTGGTGGAGAAGAGTGCTGAGAATCCCATGGACAGCAAAAAAGACAGACAAATGGGTTCTTGAAGAGATCAAGCCTGAAATCTCCCTGGAAGCCAAGATGATTAAATTGAGGCTGTTGTACTTTGGCCACATCATGAGAAGACACAACTCATTGGAAAAAAACAATAATGCTAAGAAAAGTGGAGGGGAGTAGAAAGAGAGGAAGGCTGCATGTTAGATGGATGGACTCCATTAAGGAAGCCACAGGTATGAATTTACAAGACCTAAGTGGAACAGTGGAGTATAGGAGGGTTTGGAGATGTATTTACAAGGTTATCATGAGTCAAAGGACGTTATCACACTGGCCCTAAAGCAGAAAGAATTCAGCA